CCCGCTGTCACTCTGTGTTTAGATTTGTCTTGTCCTCCGTGTTAACTGCTCCACTCTGTAAATATGGGAGACGGATGCTGCGGTTTTCCAAGCTTCTGAATGGTGTTGATGGTAGCATCATCTCCGTTAGCACTGTGTTTCCAGCCAGCATCAGCTCTTACCAATGCAGTTAAAGGGTTATTTGGACTAATGCCATAAAGGAACCACTATCGATCACATTTCAACTGAAGGTTTTAAAAGAAATATTTTTAAAAATGTATTTTTATCTACTTTTCTGCTCAATTTAGTCGTGGCTGATTCTCACATGCTAACCAGGCCAGTTTCTATCTCACAATGCTACCAAGCTGGGAAGGTGAAGGCTATCACAGGCTTCCATGTGACGTGCCAAAGCAGTTTTTCGAAGGACCAATACTGCAACATCATTGGACAGCACAACACGCCTGCAGGAGAACACTAATGCCAATTCTGTTACATCAGCTAACAGCCTTCAACACTCAGCATGAGAGATAGGGGCAGAAGGAGGGCTCGCCAAGGATCCAACTTGCAACCAACTTGGACGACTCTTCTTCTTTAATAACGTGGTTTATTAACACAGTTGTCCCATTTATATTGCTATGTAAAAAATGAAAATTAATAGATTGGTACTTTTGATTTTGCATTTTTAAGAAGCATGTTATTTGGATGGTCCACTGTAGATTCTTTGTAAATGTTCAGTATATATTTAAGTAACATTCAACTAAATAGTCACTGAATGCCACTGAACTTGATGTTGAATGTAACTTAGATGGTTCACTATAGATGCTCAGTCTGCCTTTCAAAAAACACTCAACTAAAAACCCATTACGTTCAATTGAACTTGAAGTTCAGTGTGAAAGAGTTTATTAAATCTATCCCTAAACCCTAAACCTAACCCTCACCTTAACCTCAAAGCAAAAACCTACATCTACTCCTAACTCTAATCCTAAATGTAATGTTGTTGATAATCAACTGAGGATCACCAGAAAGTTTGTTAATGATTTAAGTAGCCGTAGAGCATCTATAGGGGACCATCCAAATAAAGCGTGACCAAGATAACATAATTAGCATAAACTTCCCACCTCACTGGCCTTTTACTGCAACTCAGATGAAACAAATCAATTATAAGCATTACCATAGTGATATGAAATGTATTCTGGATTATTATACTATCACAGTGTATCTAACAATAAAGGCAGCGTGGGGCTTCTTTTACACAGTGATATGAAACGTGGTACCACTCAGCAGTTCTAACTTCACATGCTGATCCATTTTACTATGAACAATGTGAACCTGCTACTACACCATCTACTCCGAGGAAGATTTCAAAGAGTTAATGAAGACAATGACAAAGACTCTGGTCGTGTCACAGACAACACATTAGATAAGATAAGGTTAAATCCAGGAAGCGGATGCTGTGGTTTCCCAAGCCTCTGTTTGAACAGTGCTGACGGTGGTATCATCTCTGCGCATACCCTACTGCATAATAGACGAAGCCACAGCAAAGCCACGCCGATGAGAAGGTTACAGGACCCGAGTGAGACCCGCTGCTCTCCAGCTCATTATAGCGGACATTATGGAGCTCTATTCAAAGCCTGATTAATCTCATCCAGCGGCCTCACACCCGTGGCCCAATGGGGGCCAAAGAACGCTATCTGGAGCCGCTAATAAGATAACCGCCGCGATCTGTGCTCTCTCTTAGCACATTAGCGTTCACTCTTTCAATTTGAAACTATTTTCATTATCTGGGCCCATAATTTGCTTTCGCCTCAGCCACCCGGAGGGATGCTGCAAATGGAAGCTGCAGTCAAGGGCAGGAACAGTTAGCATGGCAACGTGCCGAGCATGTGAAATAAGTTTCTTACTCACATGTAACTGTGTGGGGAGTTTAAATGAAACCTGGGTTTTAGTGCTTCATTCACTTCCCAATGAAGTGGTGAGAGAAAACATATTCAGTCTTTTAGGCACAACGCTACTGACTTACACTGCTCGTCAAAAGTTAGCCTTCCTTTAAAGTTTTCTGAGTAGTTTTTGATTTTGTTGGTGAAAATTTATGGGCAAAATTTGTTTTGTATAGTTTCGTTTCCTATGTGTAGGAAGATCCAATGTGGATAGGTACTGTACCAGTTCTTTCAGTTTCCTCAGGTGTGAGTTTTGTCAATACCATTATATTGGTATGCCACGAATAAGTGCAGATTGTGTCCCAATACACGGGCTGCGTCCTTCAGGGGCTGCATTTGAAAGGTTGGTTGGGTCACAGCGGTGCGACTATGTCCCATTTCGAAGGCTGATTCATACGCAGCCGAGAAATGTGTCCTTCTTCTCCATGGCAACAAAGAATCCGACAGGTGGATCAACGAGGTTCACTGTGTGTCGGCGAGGATTCGAGAACATGGTGGCGTCAGCAGAGGAGCGAACGGCAGCAGAGGAGACACTTTAAATGTAAGAATTGGGTTAAAACTGAGTCAAATAGCAATTTTTTAAAAAAAAGCCAATGTGGTCTGAAGCTAATGTTTTGTTTTGTTTTAAGGAGCCAAGAGCAGACAGAGAGAAGCATCTTCAGCTCTAATAATAAAAAAATTTAAAAAATCAAAGTTTTGGCTCTTAAAAAGAACCTGACAGGAGCGGCGTTTTGTGACACAGCGTTAAGGGCGGGAACAGGTGCTGTGATACAAACAGGATCGGCCGTAGAGCAGATCGTCTAATTTCGGTTCAGCCTTCGTGGGTCTACGCGGCCTTCGAAGGATGCAGCCTCTGAATTGGGACACACACAATGTGATGCACAAACTATGCTTATGTTAGCTTGTTTGGCTGTAAGGCTGTCATAGATGTTTCAGTTACATTTCATATGAAAATGAAAATGCAGCAGACCTTCAATCACCTCCTGCTCTCTACTCTGTTGCAACTGAAGTAGTCCACTTTGTTTCCAAGGCAGTGGACATAAAGGAACTGCTTCTTTTTGTACTGCATAAAATGCCGCGTGACTTGGTCAGCTGCATCAGACGACGCCACACTCAACACCCTGTGTGAGAAGCAAGGCGTGGACCACCTGGTGCTGAAGAGTAAATGACTGTAATATGTTCCAAATTCTGGCAGCGTCTGATTGACAGAGGTATGAAAATATGGGACATATGTACAAGACAAATGATATTTGAAGTTGGCTTCTTATTTGAATTAAATGGTGCAGCAGTTACTGTAGAAAATCAAATGTGCTGCAACATTTTGCACCTTTTTTTCCTGGGTTCACAGGGCTGGTATTAGAAAACAATATAGACATAGGTTTGTGTATTGTTCAGCTGTGTTTTTACTATTTTGCACAAAAAGTTGCCAAGGTTGCCACCTTGCCATCTCAACCGGATTGGTGGATTTTCTCGTCACCAATCTTCTGGTCCAGTCTTTGTCATGCCAGTATCATAAATATCTAGTGTGACCGTGGCTGAAGTAATAATTTGACAGCTTTATTTTCAAACTGTTGTTAAAAACTCATCTTGAAACTCAATGACGATGTTTAGATTCCTGGCAGATTTGAGTGCTAATGTGTGCTAACAACAAGAAGGGGATAAAATGCAGGGGATTTGGTATTATTCACCAGGTAGTAGCCTAAATTTCAGCTCTTACTTTTTTCCTGTTTTTGTACAAAAAGATGCTCAGTGACTGACCATAAAATATAGTGTCACTGATATGAAGCACCACTATTATGTAGCATCAAATGATACTTATACTGCCCCCTTTTGGACAGTACTTAGCCTCCTAAACATGAGTGAGGGAGTGGGTGAGTGACTGGCAGGTTCACATTTAGAAACATTTTGAAAAGATGGGAAAAATTTGAGCATAAGTGTACACCATCTGCAAGACCATTCATGGACAACTTCAAAGACTAAGGATGTCCTTTGAGCCATACAAAACAGCTGTCCACATCAGTCTATATAGGCTACAGTCCACGACCAGACCACAGCGATCACACAGAGTCTGAACGGGAATGATTCAGGATATTGCTATGGTTTTAAAAAGGTGCTTGATATGTCCAGTACTGCAGAGACTGATTCAGCTCTACTGGAGGCTCTGGGGCTCAGGCCCACATGGCGCGAGGCATCCCGCAGGCAGATTTATGATGCACTGCTGCTGCTGTTTACCTCCCCTCTGATTCCAAACCGTAGAGCTGCCCTCATCCATCACTCGCCCACAGCCAGAGCATCACACTGAGAGAACCACCAACTGTCTCTGGCATGAGCAGCTACAGCAGGACAAGCGTGAGCTACCGAATGAATACTGTGATCCAAATGAATGCATTTTAAGCCTGAAGAGCACAAATAAAGGCCAAGTTAACCCTTAGATGTTGCTGTCATCACTACCATTAAAACAAACATTTTAAATGAGTTAGATTCATTCGTTAGATCAGTGAAATAACTGGAGAAATTATGTTCATACTATGCTTTACATTTTGGCCACATTTGGCCATTTGTGTCACTTTTCAAGGCTTTGAAACAACTGGAAAAAAATCAGAAGCCAAAACCTGAACCTGATCAAACAGAATGTAAATTGAATATAAATGTAATTCATTATGTAACTGACTATGGAGTTATTTTCAAATAGTGCAGCAAAATGGCCGTTATAACTGGACTACTAAGGATAAACCCCTTTAATGGCCAATATTTGTTGGAATATAAACTTTTATTACAATTCTATAACCCAAGAAAAACTTACCCAATTTGCATTATAGTCCATATAGTTCCTAAACAATAAACCTTAAGGTATAACACACCTTGAAATCCGAGCCAGATAAATGGATTATAGGCCAGAATGTCATTTTAAATTAATAGCTTGTAGAATCCAACATTCTACAAATGTCTGCAAAGTTCTTAAACCTTCTAGTGATGAATAGCTGCTAGTTACGAGAGCAAAGAACCGCCCACATTTCCTTGCTATTTAAGGTGAACATTTGTTGTGAGGATATTAAGAGGATATTAAAAATAAAAGGTACATACATCTTGATTGGTCATGTCCCAATACGGCCTCTCTCCATAGGACATCACCTCCCACATGACGATGCCGTAGCTCCACACGTCGCTTGCGGAGGTGAATTTCCTGTACTGAATGGCCTCTGGAGCGGTCCATCGAATGGGGATCTTCCCTCCCTACAGCACAGAATCAAAGATTCAGAAAGAAGAAGCTGATATTCTACCTGCCAACAGTTCCTACAATTACAGAGATCACACCTCAATATTACTGAAGCTGCTTTGTGATCATGCCTGCCATAAAGAGCTCTGCACAAATACAACGTTTGGTGCTTGAGTATCATTTAGTTGTATAAATAATCATTCTCATACCAGAGCACTGGTGTAGGTGGGGTCAGACGTGTCATCCTCCAGGAAGCGCGAAAGCCCAAAGTCAGACACCTTACACACCAGGTTACTGTTGACCAGAATGTTCCGGGCCGCGAGGTCACGATGAACGTAGTTCATGTCAGCAAGGTACTTCATTCCCGAGGCGATTCCACGCAGCATGCCCACCAGCTGGATCACTGTGAACTGTCCATCGTTTTGCTGTAAAATATGAATAAAATCATCAAGTGAAAATCAGTTTGAGTGGTTCATAAGTAGTTACTTAACGGGGGCTTTGGGGTTTTTAAAGAACTTTATTTTCATTGCAATAACATAAAAATCTAAATAAAATTTATTTACATCACAAATGGTACTAATACATTTTCAAATATTATTTACATTTTTATTATGACAGGTCAATATCACATTGCAAATGAGATTAAGATGTGCTCAGATGTACGGTCGTATGCAAAAGTTTGGTAAATTGACATTCTGTGTCCTCTACAGAGAGAACACACGCACATTTTCAATATGGTCTGTGCAAAAGTTACAGCATATTTTGTATTAATTCGTCATCTTAAACGGCTTAATCCAGATAGGGTTGCAGTAGCAGCTGGGAGAGCAGAGAATCCCAGACGACCCTGTTCCCCACGACTTCCTCCAGCTCATTCTGGGGGACCCCGAGCTGCTCCCAGGCCAACCTGGAGATATATCACCTCTAGTGGGTCTTAGGACAACCTCAGGCTCTGATCCCAGTAGGCCGTGCCTGGTAAACCCACCGGGAGGCGTCTATGGGGGCATCCAGATCAGAGGCCTGAACCACCTCAACTGGTTCCTCTCAATGTGGAGGAGTAGCAGCTCTACTCTGAGCTCCTGGAGCTTTTCACCCTGTCAGTAGAGTGTAGCCACCACCCTGTGAAGAAAGCTCATGTCCGCGGCTTGTGTCCATGATTTCATTGCTTCGGCCATTATCCAAAACTTATGACCACAGGTGAGGGTGGGGATGTAGACTGACTGGTCAACAGAGAGCTTTGCCTTCTGGCTCAGGTCCCTCTTTACCACTACAGTCCGGTACAGTGACCACATTACTGTTGCCGCCTGTCCCAGTCTGCGGTCAACCTTGCCATCCCTCTTCCCATCACTTGTGAACAAGACTTGAGATGCTTAAACTCCTCCACCTCTTTTTATGTATATATATATATATATATATATATATATATATATATATATATATATATATAGAAATTATGCATAAACATTTGCACTAAAATCTGTGCACTAAATTAATGGCAAAAATGCCATATTTAAGTCACATATTAATAACAGCTCACAGTGTCACTGATGCAAAGCTCCACTCTTATGATGCACCAAACGCCCCCTTGTGGCAAACCTTCAGTCTGCTAATTATGAGGTAGTGAAGAAGGGAGTGAGACAAAAAGACAGAAATGGGTCTGGGTTTTATGCAGCACTGGGTCAAAGCAGACACTGGCTGTCCGGCGCTGAGCCCTGCTAAATCCTGCAGCTGCTCTCCATGACCACCATAAAGTCCAGCACATGAGGAGCTCCTGCTGCTTTACCCCAGCTGTGGCTCCAGCTGCTTCCATCTGCAGGCCCACCGCAGCCACGGCCATAAAGCACCGCCAGCCCCTCAAGCATTGGCCACAGGAGACCAAAGCAGCCGGCCCGGTGTGGACAGACACACACGTGTCAAATGTAGCATAGACTCGGTAGTATAGTAAGTATAGACCAAAGGTTTATCTCAAAACTGTGGTAAAAAACGCTCGCAGACATCAGGCAGCATGTTTGTAACCAGTTTCTGCAAAGTAGCTTTTAGTGACATTGAACTCTTCAGACGTCTGGTTCCTATCAAAGCCACTGTGAACAATTCTGACTCTGTAATTTTCTCTAGAACGGATTGTTTCACACCAAACCACTCTGATTGACTTTGTTTACATCTTTATTTTTGAAAAATCGGCAGATTTATTCCTGTTTGAAAACAAAGGTTTAATATGTTTGCTGCCCACCTGATGTGTCCAGCTTGCTATGTTGTGTCCTTCCTCGCATTATGCTGCATCTCACTCGAACCCTTCTCCCTCATTAAGCAACCTGAGCTCCTCCTCACGTCCTTGCCGTCTTCTAACTTCTCCTCATCCTCATCCCAGCAATTAAGTGCTATGAATTATTTATGAGGCTCAAATCCCTCACAAACACGAGCCGGCGCTCTAATCTCCCTGCAATGTTTGCCTATAGCTTAATTGGAGGGACTCGTAGCCCAAAGTAATTTGGATCCACAGCCGGAGCAAGGTAAACATTCCTGCCTTGATTATACATGCATTATTCCATTCAAAAGCTTATCAGCAGCCATATCTCGATGCGGATTCGGGCGTCTTTCACCTAAGAATGAGGCTGACACTTTCTCAAATCTGCCTGGAAGTCGGGTTTACATTTGAATTTCATATTCCATCACTCATCCTGGTTATAATTTTTTGGCAGCCTGCTCTTTCTCTCTCTATCTCTCTCTCTCTCTTAGGTTTTCTAAAATAACTTCTTCTAATCTTCCCTTAGTAAGCACAGAAAGAGAAGTCTCAGACAGTTTCCCTCGACGGAGGCGGCCTCTGCCCCGTCTCTGCCTTTGCGCTCCACTGTAAACCTGTCAGCCTCTCGCATTCCAGCTACGATGCTGTCAGCGAGTGTCATGCGCCACAATGCTTGTTTTGAAAGCGTTCGCCGAGGTGTCAGAACTGCACAACAGCCATACGGTGTAATCACACAAAACAGAACACACGTCTCTTACAGTGGTGAGCCAGATCTGTGAGATATTCTGCGGTAAATTGCAAATGTTTAGACTTTGTCTGCATGAATGTCACGTCAGCAAACAGGAATGCTTTATTTACTTGTACTTTCCTCTCAGAAAGCCAAAATAATCGGAGAGACTGTCGACTCAGAGACGCAGAGAGTCTTGCTTCTGTTCAAACACTGATAAAAAGATGTGCATGTTAGATGTGAAGTTATTTCTGAGTAAAGCCCACTGGTGCAAATTCAGGGGTGGGGTTTAACATGTACACTATATTTTTAGAAATACAAGGTATTTTTGGGGGTTGTGGGATGGTTGTCGGAAAAAGTAATAATTACAAGAAAGCTGAAAGCTGAATTTGTTTAAACAGTTTTATTTGTTTAAACAGTTTTATTACCTGATGTTGGATGTGGTGGATTTAATCCTATTTTCTATATTTCATAAATGTTTATCTACCAGCATCGGCAGAAATGTACATGAAAAATAGTGGACATCGACAATGGACCACAGTTCCTTTATCAGTGCGACCCGAAAAGAAGTTGCACCAATAATTTCCATTTTTAATCAATTTTCTTCATTGAAATGTGAAGATTTCTAAAAAACATATTACAGTCTTAAAAGGTGGCAAAAAGGGTTCTTTAGAGTGGCACAGAAGAACTTCTTTTGGTTCCCCAAAGATTTTTATTACAGAATTTGAAAATGCCACCTACAATATCTTAACCCTTGTGTGGTGTTCAGGTCTGTGGGACCCATTTTCAGTGTTTACCAAACACAAAATGATGTGATTTATTAATATTTCAACCTCAGATTCTTGTCCTTTGCTCATTTTCAGTGAAGAACATATCAAATAACCCATTTTCAGGGTCTTCACTCTGTTCACCCCCCACACATTTATATTACACATGTGGTGTTGGGTGAACCTGCGGGGAGTAAAAGTGTGGAGGTGCTGTGTCCTTCACTCTGTTCTCCTCCTACATGGCCTGCTGTTAGTGTGTGTGTGTGTCTGTGTGTGTGTGTAAGAGTGGACAAAATGGACAGGCTGCTGACTGGCTACAGCTGCTAAAGGAGAACTCTACGCTGGACAGTGGTATTTTAAACCAGGTAATTTTATATAAATTGTTATGGCTATATTGATCAAAAAAAATAATAATGCAACAACATCAACAACACACAAGGGTTAAAATTTCAGGATGAATGGAACAAGAGAATATTGTTCCATTAACCTATATTCAAAGTTAAGAATGTGGTTAATGGGGTTAAAAAGAGGGATATATATATATATATATATATATATATGTATATATATATATATATATATATATATAGTGAGAGAGAGAGAGAGAGAGAGAGAGAGAGAGAGAAACAAATATCATTTGATCAGAAGTACCCAAATATGATAAATATGAATATATATGCACATTTGGCTATAGTGTTGATTCATATGGGACTGAATGGAGTGGTAAATTCATGTGGTAAACATCTGAATCAAGTATGTTTCAATGCATCATTTGAATACAGCTTAAAGAAACAAAATCCACTGACAAATTGACAAATGATACTTCCTGGACTTTAACACATGCAGCTACAAAGGCTTTCTGAACAGTTCCAAAGAAAGCTCAGCTTAACATCGCAGATGCAATTAAACAGCCTCCACTTCCCAGAACAAAGTCACCCTTCACACCCATATCCGTCATTCATTACCAGGCATCGCACAATTACGCATGCCAGTTTCAATACGGCGTGGCAGGGCATGTGGAGGCAGTCCTGGTGTTGGAGTGCATATGTCGCATGTCCCAACATGAACTCAGTGAGCCAGCTATGATAACATCACCGCTCACTGTGGGGAAACTGCATCTGAGCCTGGCTAAGCGCTGGGTGATAAACCGTCTATACCAGTATATCTGTGTCACATGAGTTAGGCTCCAATCTTCTCTTTTTCATACACTAAATAAAATGCTAAAGCTCCAAAGTGGCAAGTGTCCAATTGCTAAGCAGATACTGTCCACAAAGAAACATCAAGAAATAAAAAAAAAGTTAAGTTGATGACTTAATGGCTTAAATCTAACTAAGAGGAAAGCAGATTAATTTCTGAAGATTAATATTATCATGTAGAAACATACAAGAAAGTAAAAATCCATCTAAATTTACCTAAAAGGGCCTTCCAGCCTAAAACTAGCCTATGTTATTTGTTGTGTAATGTAATATTCTGCAGCACAGCACTGCAATCCTCAGCCGTATTTTGATAGAATTTATGATCCTTTTTGCATTTTTCTCCATCCATGTTCCGTCACTACAATATCCATCATGCATTATGTGAATACATTGCGCAATCAATGGGAACCTCCCTATCAGCGATAAAGAAATGCACTGATGTCGAAAGTAATATCTGTTGCCGGTGAGCCCTTAAATATCTATGCCAATGTATTTG